GTAACATTGGATCTTTTAGGGCTCGATTGAATTTCTCTTGATCCATAAGATCGTTTGTTTCGATTCTGAAATTGATAACTTTTTCGTTCTTTTTGAAACGATCCTCGCCAGATGCGAAAAAGAGTCGCGCAAATTCGATAAGAGTCGTATAGAGACGCGGAAGTAACCCGAACGCCTCATCGTACCCATGTGGTTCTTTCGAACGGGGACTTTTGAAGAACACGGAACACAGCGGTGGCGATTATGTCTTCCATCCGCAGAAACACGGATAGACGTGGTAGCATCGGTCTCCCCGGTCGCGACTGCACGCAAGCTCGGCTGAGGAGTAACCAGACACGATATTCAATAAATAACGAGACGCGTACGAGATAATTGGGAGTCATAATTGCGTATTTCGTGCCTGGGTTCGAAGTCGCGCGACCGATCGCCATGTGGAGCCCGCAGGCACCATCGATTCCTCCTCCTACCGTCACCGAAACATAAAAGGGACTTTCGCGTGAGAAGAAGCGCATATCGGTTCGGTTTCCGGTGAAACGAGGCGACAAACAAAAGCCCGGTGCGTCGACTTCGCGGTCGTTCGCCGAATATTTAACTCCCATCATTATCGGGGCCCTTTCCCCCTTCTTTCGACCCCGTTGTCCGCTGGAATCGCCAGCTCTCGGCTACGGAATCGTCCCTGTCTCGCCTGTGTTCTGGTTCGTGTTCCCCTTCCGTCATTCAGCGCGGACTCATCAACCATCTGTGTTCCTCGACTCATCCTCGACTTTCCTCGATATGCCCGAACGACGATTACATCCCGTGTCTCTCGCGTTGTGTGCACGTTTCATTTCGCGCCGCCATTGTCTTTCGGCGTCCCGAACAACCGGAAACGCTTAAAGTAAACGCAGAGATGAACACCTCGCGGCCCTGGAATTCGAGTAAATATTGCGTCGAGTTGAGCGTTCCATATTGTTGTTGGAATAGGATTTGATTGGTGTTTGCAGAGGAGTTTCGAAAACTGGAGACCTACCAGAACTTTGGTGGACTTGGACTTGTTGATACACTTGTGTGATCGGCTACCGTTTGGGATGGAAAATTTCTCATCCAGAGGAATGTGATTCGGCGTTGTAATTATTTCATGGATTTTTAAGGGAATGGAATTAATTATAAGCGTACTTTTTTAACCAACGCTCCTTTCTGTCAGCTACAATAGCTCGGATATTAAATAAACTCCCAGTGGTGCACTCCGTGTACACGAAACTTTTAATTGAGTCAAACTTTATCGAACTAACACGGTAGGAAAAGAAGTTCAACCGAGAATAATAAATGGTCGAGAGTTTGAAATTATATTAAATGCTCAAAACTTTGGTAGATTCTAAAAAACTTGCGTAAAAATTAGCTCGAAAGACACCACGCCGAGCAACATTAGAGCCTAGCCGACGGAAACATAGTAATCAAATTCATCGATCGCATTAGCGGCAACAACGTTTCGCGGAAGAACTAGCTTCCTATGTCGTCGGAGAAAAGGTGGAGGGAATACTCCCGTAATCGATATATCGGCTTCGTTTAATGAATCCTTCTAGAAATACGTAGTCATCCACCGGTTCGTCACGCCATCAGACCCGTTGAACGCGTTTCCCCTATTTCAGTGGTTTTCAAACGTTTATCGTTCGCAGCAACGCTCGCTGTTGTACTCGATCCACCTGGAGTGTCCTCTGTCAAAGTTCGCGGTGAGGGTTTCTCCTTTGACATCGTTATCTTAAGCTTTATCGATAAGAAGAAATCCTAAAATAAAACTCCTTTAAAAGGGATTACAGTTAAACTCGTAAGTTAACGCCTTGAGTAAACAGCCTCGGTCACTTGAATACCGAAGAAGAGGTAGTTATTACGATTATACCTCGATTTGGCTAACCGAGGGAAAGATATAGGATTCATTTCGAAGATTCTTGCACGTAAGATTCTAGCTCTTGACTAACTACGCTAATTGTCAAAGTACACGGTCTTCCCACGCACGTACTTTTGCAAGAGAAATCCATCCATCAAATATACATGACTCATCGAATCGGTCGGGTTCCATGACGTGCCGTTTGAATACCACTGGTCTAGCATATCGGGGTTACCTCATCGAAGTTACCGAACTCTCGATGCGCTTCTAACTTTCTGGTTAAGGGAAAAATTCCAGCCGAGCAAATGGATAATTAGCTCGTCGCATCGAAGCGAAGTTGTCGCATCGACGCAGCGTGAAACAACGCGGACACGTCTAGGATTTATCGACGCGAATCGATGGTAACAACCACGCGCGTAACGGTCGTGAATTCGCATGGCGTAGGAGCAGTTAAGATGTTATCGTTTAATGAGAGACTCAGGACCGAAGAAAGTAGAGGTTTCTATTGAGATCTAGCCCGATCGAGCCTGCCGAGCTGGCGGCCGTCCTTCGATACCTAGCATCGTCCAAACGGGTGATAAATTAACTAGAAATAGGTAAGTCGGGGCAGGTGATGTCAGATTGGCAGATGTTACTGGTTACACAACAGCTCCGGCCCTAATCTATCCGGCATCGGCGTTACCATTTTTTTCGCTTTTGCTCGATAGACGTCTACGCGAGCTACGTTATTACGTTATGCATGAGTATTATATTATTGTAACGGTTGTCGATGTTAGATCGTCTTGTATCTCGGACGTTCGCAGAAGAATATGGTGGAAAATGTAGATCATCGTGTAGCGTACATCTTTGACCGTATCAGACATAGACAAATTTTAATTGGAACGAAAGTATACGGTAACTATTCGGAATAATTTATTTTTCGAATAAACCAGATGTCGGTATAAATCAGATTTACGAAAGATCTTTAGAAATTTATTGTACCGATTTCGGCTACCGCTTAAAAAGTTTCCGCGAGAAAGGTAAAAGTTTGTTAAGTTAAACACGAGACATTTTTCCCGTCACGACACTTGATAGACTGGTCGTGCATTAGAGCATTATGAACGCGTTACACATTGCGCAGACATGGCATAACGTAATACATGATCATAGGAGTCACGCAATGATCACGATATTTGCTTTAACCGTGTATGAAACCAAGCTATCGCTCTTTTCGACGTGTCGGGACGTAAGTAAAAATGTCTACCTTGTCTCTGTCGAGCTGGGTTGTCGACGAATCTAATACCCTCGCCGGTACACTAAACATTTCTTTCTGTTCGCCAAACAATACAATCTGTTTATGACAGCTACGTTGCGCTGAGCACATGTTCGATAGACAAGTTACATATCATTCGAAAGATTTATGTTGGATTGCTCAAACCTTTTCGGTGCTCTAATTCCTTCGGCAACGATCAAATTCATGTCAAAGAGACGAATGACTGAAAAAAAAAAAAGGATACAAAGAACTTTAATAGAAATTTAACAGGCGCAAACGTTACAGTCGGTGTCTTCCGGTCGCCAGTGGAACTGAATTAATTAATCGCTGAATGCAAAGCAGCCAGGCATTCTCGTTCCCATCATCGATTTCCGCGGTCTCGGGAAGGGAAGCCTCGACGAGCGTTATCGACTGTCGCGTGATTTACCTAGGTCTGGCGGGATCGATCAACGATAATCCGTGGTAACGATCGGCCGCCGTGGCTCACGCGTTATAAAAGTGGCATCGCTTGAGATGCCGGGGATACGGTGACTGGATTATGGAGTTTGCACCGCGGAATTATAACTGTGCTGATAGCGGTGAGAAAGGCGGAGAGAGATAGAGGGAGAGACCGCATAATACCGTACACGTATGTATCATGATGTCCAGCGGTGCACTTGTAGCCAACAAGAAAGGAACACCGTGGCCCACGGGTGGAAGAGGGCGCAGGAATCTCGTGGTAGCATCCGCGGGATGAGAGATTCTCGGGTTCGTCACGCTGCGATGCACCCCTCTGCCCTCTCTCTCCGATCTATCCTCCCTCCCCCTGGTGCATACGTGTCCGTTGGTAAATGCATAAATCCGCGTACACCCACTCTTCTCGACTCTAATCCGTTAGATTCTGCGAATGCTCGCGGCTGTCTTTTGAACCGCGATAATCCGAGGCTGCGATTTCGCGTAATTGGGACTAGATTATTAGACGCACGGACGCCGCCGACAGGAATTCATGCGCGGCGTTCTTACCCGCGTCCATCTTGGAATCGTACTCGCGATAATCAAACGATCCTCTACCCGTGGTCATCAAACGGTGACCTAATCCGGTCTGTTTGCCAATGCGAACAATTTCTCGTTTCATTGCTAGAAAAGAAGTGGGTTTCTAGACGGGGATGCAGAGAAACGAAGGTTTTAACAGCGCACAACAGCGACATTCATGCCTCCCGACCTTTTTCCGTTACGGTTTTCTTCTTCGCGCACAGGTCGAAAGGAGACGTCGATATCCAATCGATAGATAAGCTTGGTCGACGGCTCGCAAACACAGCTGGGTCCACGCAGGGCTCAGGTAATCCGAACACAGGATGCCTTGTGTTACCGTGGCAAGTCTCTCCGGTTTTGTGTACCCACCCGCCGCCATCGTCGCCCCGATCCTCTGCACACGCAGCTTGCCGTGCTTTCGACGTATTTCGCTATCTTTCGCCTGTCCTCGGTGCCGGCGCTGTTTGTCCGGATTAACCGACTAGACCATCTCGTAATATCCCTGGCGAAATCATTCCCTCACGGGCGGGCGAGCTAGATTCTTCTTCGTGAATATTAAGTACCGCGATTACTTCAGAATGTAACCGCTGGCGAAGACGACGCGGAGCGTGCGATCTTCCGGCATCTGTTGTACGCCGGAGCGTAGAATCGGTAACGTTATTTAAACATATCGTTGACCGGCAATTTTACACAGAAATTAAAACGATCTAAATAAACTCCAATAAACTTTATAAACTGTAAAAAAGTATATTCATCCTGGCTTTCATCAATTGAAATAGATAATACAAGAGTTTACGACACGAGTTTACAACAATGTGTTAATATTTACGTGTGGACAGCGTTTCTAAGACGAATTTTTGTTTTGTGTTGCAGGTACGACCTGGGGTTGCGTCGGGGTAGCTAGCAAAGCGTCTGTCGGTGGTGAAGAGGAGATTACGATTACTGATAGACAACGATTGAAGAGGGCGGGGAGCGCAACGTGCGGTAGAAGAAGAAGAAGAAGAAGAGCAAGTCGAGAGAGTGTAGGCGCAGGCGCCGTAGGTGATGTGAGGCTGGCGCCCGCCTCACGTTTGGGGTGATGCCCTCCAGTGAGCCTCATCCCCCCCAGTACCACCTTCAGCACCACAACATTCCTCCGTCGCATCTTCAGCAGCACACGTCGGCCGCGATCGGGCAGCATCAGCTCTATCAGCAGCTGGTGGCGGCCCATCAACAGCAGCAGCAGCAGCAGCAGCAGCAACAACAACAGCAACAGCAACAGCAGCAGCGACAGCAGCAACACGGCGGGCCCTTTCAAAATTCCACGTACGCGCAGCAAAAGCAGGAGATGAGCCCGGAGGAGGAGGGGGGTCGAGGGGGCGGGTCCCCCCC